TTTTTTTTTTTTTTTGTCTGTTAAGAGAATTGGAGGAAGTAGAAGATGGAACCAAAAGAAGAGTTAATTTCCTATAGCTGCATTTTTGAGTTTTTTGGTAACCACCCTGATTAGTTTTCTGACTAGTTTCACAAGAAAAAAAAAAGCTTTCTAAAAAAACTTATTTTGTCAGGATTTCCCTGTTTGATTCATGAAGAGAGTGGAATGCAGGAAACAAAATCAGCAAATGAAAATGCCTGTTGATCATGCCTGTGTTATAAACATAGCAACGTGAAAATCTGTTATGTTGGGATCAGTGATGGTTTGTTGTTCAGGCTTCATTTCATTTTCATGGAATATAAATTCATTCCAGTGTCAGCCTTTTTAGAAGAATAATTTACAAAAAAAGCCTCCCTCAAACTCTCAACAAACCAACCCCACCTACCCCCAAACTCCAAAACAAAATTAAAAATATAAATTTAAAAAACCCCCAAACACAGCGAACTACTGTCGTTTTTCTAGTCTTGTCCCATATTTAGCTGACCAAGCTAAGAATTATTGTATCCAGGGCAAATTGCTTCTGATTAATCATTGCACAATTGGATAAAGGTTTGTAACAAAAAGAAAAAAAAAGTCCTGAATTATTAGAAAGCAATGCCAGAATTTGTCTTAAGACCATTTGCAGTAGTTGCTCTCCTTGTGAGAGCACCGAGCCGTGCCATGTGACTTTATGTTGTGTGTCATCTGGCCTAACTGTGTGCTGCAACTGCAGAGGTGGCTACAGATTCCTCCCTTGTACCTGCGCGTTTCTGCTGATTCTTGCATCGAATCAAACGATCGTGGGTCAGTGAGATCAGTCAGCTGATCCCAGAGGAAGTTGTTATACTAGGAAAAAAATCATTAAGGGGGGAGGGGAGAGGTGGTGCAGAAAAGTCACCTTGGTCATCATTCTCATCTTGCAAAGGTGCACTCTAGATGTGTTGCATGGTTTTTGGAGAAAGGTCAGAAGTCTTTATCACAACAGCAGCCTGCACTTGCCATCAGTTAGACTGAGTGGTTAACTCGTGGCAGTATGGCAGGTGGCTATGTGGTTCAATTTTACACGTTCTGTAAACACTAGAGGATGGGCATGCAAGTGTAGAGCTTCTTATGGCTGAATGCATTGGAGTGTTCTAATGTAAATACCCAGTAATTGTCCACTGGCCACTAATCCTGAGTGTTGGTGGTGTTCAGTATGATTTGAGAGGAAGGGGGTGTTACAAAAGATGTAGAGTAGCATAGAAAAAAGGAATGTGTTCTGCTAGAATACAGGTACCTTACTCATTTCTCTCTCTCTCCCTGTTTGTTTTTGTTCAGTTGTTTTTTTTGTTTTGTTTTGTTCTTTAAATACATGTTCTAGCCAATTCAAGTGCCTTCCTTTTCAAATTATGATCACCCAGAATAGAGTTAAGGTCACTGTAAAGCTGACAGTGTAAAATACTCAATAGGAAGTGAAACAGCAAAAATCTGTCAGAGATAATACAGAGGCTTTTGATAATGGTGTCCGAGGAAGGAAACTTCCTGATAAAATAAGCTGAGTTGCACTTTTGATTACAGTTTTTGTTCTTTGTCAGTGAGGTTGTATGAAACTGGGGGCAGAAATAAAGATATTTAAATACGATTTGACTAACTTGCTTATTGGCTTGATGTCTTTAGTATGTGATCTTCATGTTTATAATGTGTCCACATGGGGAAATAGTGAAGCAGTTCACAGGGAGCTTAAGAACATGTAGAACCTTTTTATCTATCTATCTATTTATTTATTTAAAAGGGTGATGTCTGGTTAATTTACCTAGGGGTTGATGTAGGAAAATACCGAGTACTCGTTGTCTTTCCCTTTCAATGTATACAAGTGCTAATCTAAAAAAGTTAAAGAATTTTATACCCGTTTTACATTTTATCATGTTTTTATATATTGGTGGCCTCTGGGATAGCTCTTTCCTGCTATCTGATCAATCAGGAATTTGTTTTTAACATAGAGAATTCTGTGAAGAAGCATATGAGATGTGTTTCCCTGTGCTCTTTTTTAGTGAAATGACAAAAACAGTGGAGATTTCTGGGGAAGGTGGACCCTTGGGAATACATGTAGTGCCCTTTTTTTCATCTTTGAGTGGAAGGTAAGGTATTTTCTGCATTGCTCAAGAAGTATATTAATGAAAGGATTTCATTAATATGAAATGAATATTTCATATTAAGAAATATGAATTTCAATATTTAAGAGAATATAAATATTCTCTTAAATATTGGTTCTCTTAAAATACCTATTTAACCATAAGGAAAAGAAATGCTTAAAATAAATCTAGTCTATGACACTGTCTTCCATTACCAAAATACTTACTAGTCTAAGTAGTAAGACGATATCAACCCCTTTCCTCATTAATGTCATTTTAATTGCCTTTGGTTTTATTCTCTGAATAGTAAACTAGACTCTCTATAGAATAATATAATACTAAAGATGTGGGGCTAGAGGGGTGGTTGTTTTTTGTGGTGTGGGGATTGGTTTTGGTTGTGCGTGGTTATGTTTGGGGTTTGTTGTTGGTTTGGGGTTTGTTTTATTTTGTTTTTCCAGTTAGATTTCTCTGCATAGGCCCTTCCTTAGTGACATACCAGACAAGAAAAGTAAAAAAAATTTGCTTACCTGGTCATGTCTCATATTTTTCAAGCCACCTTTCAGATTTGGTTGTTTAGCATTTATAAAATGTGCACTATACCGTGAACTTTTGTTTGTCACAATACAATTGCTTTAATTATAAATGATTTAACATAGTCTCTTGAGATCACAAAAGCCTATTATAGTGGTGTGCTCATATCGATATACTGTAGTTAAGACTGTGTCAGCATTTTCATAATAACTGTTTTCTAAGCTATGTAACTTGCATGGAAACATAAATAAATAAATAAATTCTAGGCCGAAATTTGACATACAGAGGCTTAGCCAGAGAGTTAATTTGACACTGGCAGCCCTGAATAAGAGATGGGAAATTACCAATGCCATAAATAGCACTACTTTGTAGTAAAATGGCTGCCTGTTACAAAGACAATCATTGCAAAAGTAAAAATTGTCTAATTCTTCAATGTTTCTTTACTTGTCAACTTTTATGTAGGACAGAGAATGTGAAGGATTAAATTACTTTGTAGAGGTCTGTGTGTGTAAATCTTTTCTCAGCAAGTGGACCCAGATTCATTCAGAATGTTTTTGCCAAAAGGGAAAATAGATGTCCACTTGCTACCTGGAAAAACACCACTGTCTCAAGAAGAAAGTTGGTCTTCAATGGGAACTGTAGGAGATCTGAGTCACGTTCTTGGCTTTGCAGGCTGCTTATTTGTCTTGAGAAAGGCACTTGTGTTTGTTACTCCATCATGAAATACAACCAATGGTTCTTTGTTATAGGCATGCCAGAAAGGTTGTAGTGCATACACTGTATTTCAAGATCATTAGGTGAAAAATGTAATGAAATTGCAAACTGTTAAAATCAGTAATTATTGTGGCTGCAATACAGTTCTGTACTGAAGTATCACTGTGGTGAATGCAGCTTTTAAAGACCTCCATGAAGAAAAAGTAGAGCTCCTCAGTCTACATTGCGTGCGTGTTAATATGTCCTTATTTACAAATGCTTTTGGGGATTCCTTGGAGCAAAGGGGTTTTTGACAGCTGGACTACTTGTTTAGACAGTTGTCTTGAAATTTTAATAACCTTTGGCAGAACCATACCCATATCTTTGTAAAAACACTAGAGTGACTTAAATGTCTTGTCCCTCTTATTTAATCAAGCCTGAGACTAGCGTATAAATTTTAACTCATCATAACATGTGAAAGTACAGAAGAGCATCTTTTATTTCTGTCAATGACAAGATACATTTTATGAGGGCATAATGGCCATGACTAACTTGGTCTGGTATTTCAGTTGTAAAGTTATCTTCTAATAAGGTAATGCTGGCTTCAGTAGTGCTACTGCAGAGCAAAATTTTCTTAGAGGTAGTTAAAACATTGTATTAATTTACAAAATCTTAGTTTATACAGGAGCTACAATTAATGATTTCTAATTGCAAAATTTCTTTTGCAATTAGAAATCATTAAATAATAAATTAATAACTTAATAATGCATTAAAATAATGCTAAAATTGAGGCTGTGGAAAAAAGTAATGGAGCAATGAATTTAAGCTGTCACAGCATACGTAACTCAAGCCACTGATTCAGGTAGCACAGCACACACAAGGTTCACGCAAGTGGGCAATCCTATTGCATTATATAGTTGCAGAATCTAAGCATGACAGGATTAGTGAGCAACTGACTTAATTTGTAATTTCTTTTGCTGATATTGGTTTACATCTTAACATAATTATATTTCATTAGTTCTTAGTGTTTGGTTTTTTGAATGCCACTAGTTGGCTTTTTGTCATCAGTAGGGCTGTGGCCCCTTACCACCACTGCCCCTTCGAATCCTTTAGTGAATGGTAACACAGGCTGCCAGAGAATCTTTGTGATAGATTAAATCATTTTTGTCTGTTAAAAGTTTTGAAGAAGTAAATTCAGTAGGAACCAAGTTTTCGCTTCAAGTACATTGATATGACATAAATAGAATTTTTTAGATCTTATTATACAGTAAATATAAAATGAGATGCATGGTGAATATAGTGTCTTTTAAAATAGTTAATGGCATGCTATGAATCTGTTGAATGAACTTAAATATAAGAAGCAGTCATGAATCTGAGGAAAAGAATACAAGACTTCTGTTTTGTCATTCGGGAGCTGGCATGTTGGAAATTGCACATTAATATTTTATGGAGTATAACCAATAGAAAATGGTCTCTAAAGGTCACCTGTCTTTGATGCTGATGTGGTACAGAAATGTAGTGGATAAAATGTGATTATAAAAGGTCTTCACAAACACACAGTTGTCGGGGTTTTTTTATCACTATACTGGTATCATTGGATATATCAATGTTGAGTTGTAATCTGCAATACAGAGATGCTCCAGGTAGGTCAGAAATAGCTTCCTACTCCCAGCAGTTAGCCACACTGGAATTTTGCACCACCCATGCTTGTTTCACTTGACATGTTATCACAAGTTTCTGTGCTGCGGCTCAATTTTCAATTTGCACATAACCTGTTAACAAACAACTGAGGTTGTGATGTTCTGCTGCTCTCCTGCCCCATAAATTAATAGTATTGCTGACAAGTAGCAAAACAAGGGGCTTTGGCAGCTGAAAAGTTTGGGACTTTTCAGATGTAGAAATAATGGTTATTTTTTACCGTATTCTAATGCCTGTTTAGTTTATTATAGTTGAGTTGGAAAGTTACTTTTAATCTGTTTGTGCTTTTCTTTGGAGCAATGTAATCTTACTTAGTGGCAGACAAATATTGCATAAGCTACATTCAAATTTTTAACCGAATGAGGGGAGATCTAGGTGTTTTCCTCTGTTTCTCCAAGTATGACCTACAGGACTTAATGCTTCCTGAAGCCCTAGCAAGTAGCATATCATTGGTGTCCAGCAATTTTTCTTGGTGTTTCTTGCAGTCCCTTGCTTTTTAGTTGAAGAGTGAGCTGGAAATCCGTTCTCTAGGTTAAGCACTTTATAATGTTCTACTCTATCTCATCTCGTACACAGTAGAGATTAATATCTATTTTTAGTTGCTATAAATTCATACCAGCAGGATAAGGATAACTTTCATGTTCTTTTTTTGCTCTTTAGGATGCTGGGACTCTTCATCCGTGGTATTGAAGAAAACAGTAGATCTAGGCGTGATGGACTTTTCCATGAAAACGAATGCATTGTGAAGATTAACCACGTGGACCTTACAGATAAAACCTTTGCACAGTAAGTATTACTTTACTGATACTTTTAACTAGCCAGGATTTTACACAATACTGTGTTTATTAAGTGATTCATGCAAAGGGATTAATGTTTATTTCAGATAAAATGCCTGTAAAATTTATACCTGGCAGAAACTTTTTCATTTTCTTTCTGAAACCTCTAAATAAGGTGAAATCTGAGGAGAGGAATCTTCTTGTAGTCTTAATGAACCTATTGTGCTTACTTAATCTAAATAGCATTAAGTTTTTTAAAAGTTATCTTCACTTTGTAAATCTTCCGTTATTTTTTCCATGTTTTCTTGGTAATTTGTAAATTTGTAAAAGACATTAAGACCCTCAGAACGAGTCAACATTGCAGCATGTGTTTTAATGTTCTTTTGCAAAGGAAATAAGATTATTTTTTGGTGCTGCAGCTTTTTGAGCATTCAATTTTAAAAAAATACTAGGTCTGTCAAACTACGATTAGCTGGGCTAAATGGTAAGTCTCACCTCTTAGTTCTTTTATTAAAAATCTGTTGTATCTATCTCAAATTACTTTAAGTAACAGGTTGCTTTGATCAGCTGTGAATTAATGTGACATTGTTTCACAAAAGAATAGCCTCTCAAATTTCACAGATGTTTACTGTAGTAATTAAATAGTAATTTGTTTTTACTTTTAATCCATATGTTTAAACAGCTGAGAGATTGTTTATAATATATCAAAAAACTATTGAGATCTCAAGGGAGTTGAGGCGTAACTTTCTAAACAGTAAGCCAAATGTTCAAGGTTTATAGACTAAGATCAAATAAGTAATTTTCCTGTTAGGGAAAAATATTTGCAAAATATGTTTCCATAAAGCCAGCATTGTTCTGTGGTGTAGGTATTACCTTGTTTCTGAGGCTATGGTTTTTGCCTGCTGATAGGTTTTTGAGTTACTGCTTTCTACATATTTGGTGGTAAAATGTATTCTGCTCTGATATAGTACATGCCACTCTCTTCCACCTATGGAAGGTTCCTACATAAGATAACAACTTAATCAGAATGTAAGTTGTTGGTATTGTACTAAAATGTTTGTTATGTCACCTGTGCAGTTTTGTAATGAAGATGTGTCCTTCTCAAATGAGATTTTGCCTGAATCAAAACCGCTCTAAAATATATGTCATCTTTTCTTTACAAATTTATTGTCTCCTTTGTGTTATTTTCAGAACAGAATGTAACTGGGTCTCCAGAGGCTTTAAGCCCACGAGATATATGTGGAGTGGAGGACTCTGCATATTTTTTTTGTAGGCCAACTACATTCTGGGACAGTTAGAAATATTGCAGTAAACTTTACTGTTCTCTGTCAGGCTTCCCTTCAAAATGAGAAATGCAAGACACTGCTTTCTCCATGTTTGTGAAGTTTTGGAAGTTGGAAGAGTTATTTACAGTTGTTTGTTTAGAGAGGCCAGTCTTGTTAGATGATCTCTCTGTCATTGGGAGAGTGAAAGAGAAGTGACTAAAAGGTGATTGAGAGCAGAGCCTAATTTAGTTGGTCTAAGTCACCTTATGTTACAATATCAAGTAGTGTGATTGCAGTGGCATTGAATTTGAGGAGAAAAACTGTGGGCAGTGAGGACTCAACATCCATTTGGGGACTGAAGGGAGTATTTTGGACAGGCTGTAGCCTGTGTCCTGTTATATTGTTTTGCTGAATTGCCTTCCAGAATAGCTTTCTGCATCATCTCTCTTCTCTGGCTGTTGTGAATGGCTAAAGAAGGAACTTTCCAGATTGAAACTAATCTCAGAGAATATGCCTTTTGGTTTTCATCTGGTGTGACATAACTGTACTAACCTGACAGAAGTCCAAGTTACAGAAATGCAGTTATTGTAATGGATGTGATGAAGTATTGTCCCAATGACTGTTGACCCAGAAATAGTCATCAGATTCTCCTTTGAGAGGAAAATCTGTTGGCTAGTTTCAAATTGATATTTCTTCATAGCCCTTGTAAAAGCTGTTTTAACACTTAGCAGAGACTGTTAAACACTGTCTCTTTCTGTTTTCAGCAGGGACTTTCTAGTATTGCTCTTGATGATTGCTGCTTCTGCAGCTGTAATAGCAGCAGCCTACTTTCTATATTCCCATGTTTATAATAGCTTTATATATTGGGACTGTTGGTCTTCTTTTTGATTTGCTGTTAATCTATTCAGTTACGTTCTGTTGTGTTGCAGAGTTTATAGCACCTCTTTTAATTGATTCCCTTATTTCTTTAAAATATGCATTTGGGGTCTCAAGAAATGTAAATTTTTCCATCCATTATTTTTTCTCTTTGAAGTGCAGACAGTTATTTTGTCCCTGAAGACTGCATTTAGGCTTTCCCACAGGATGTCTTGTGTTATTTCCAGGGTTGGTTTGTTTGTTTTTTTTTTTGTTTGAAGGAGATCTTACATTTTCTCTTCCATATAATTAAAATATTAATCTCCTGAAACTGGGTTATTGAATTACCTTGTAACATATGACCAAGTGGCTACTTGCAAGGATGAGGATGGGGTGTGAAAAAAAACCTAGTTAAGACTTTATGTCCTTATGCTGGGAGCATGCCATGGTTTCTACAATCAAGGTAAGGTTTGTCCTTGAAAACCTTCACAGGCTATAGGTGAGCAGGTAACCTATAACCCCTGCAGACATGCTGGGACAGTGCTGTTATAGTTCTGCAACCTAACCCTTGAGGGTGGTGCTGGAAGAATACTTCCCTACAACACTCTCTGCCCTACCTTTCTTCTCCAAGTTTGAGGTTTCACTTCTGGCAGTGTTTCCTCTCAATGAATGTGATTATGCTGACTCTTGGTGCACATGCACGCAGTGTAGCCAAAATGATTCTTCCCCACAGCAGTGTCCATTGGAACTGCCCCCAAGTTCAGTGTTTTCATGCTGTAGAACAGCAGTTAGTTCCACTAACTACAGCTGCAAGGTGGAGGTTGATCTGGGAAAGCAGTAGGTGTGTATACAAGATACTAACATTTGCAGTGGCTTCCTTTCTGTATCAGTGTAAGAAAAAAAAAAAATGTTTATTTCAGAAGTACTTTCAACATTGACTCCTGTTGCGTAGCTGAATGTAAATCCAAATACAAGATTTCGGTGAAATACTAACTTTGCCTGACTGACACATAGTACAGAAAGGTAGGAGATATGTAAATCTTAATGATTTATTTAAAAATTAATGTGGCCGTTACTTCTCCTCTTGACCCAGTTCTGCTAAGCAGTTGTTCTTGATTTTTCATTCTCAAAATGTACTTCAGCTGCTACTTCTCTTTGCACTTGAGCTGTCTTCTGCAGTATGGTAGAAAATCAGTCCACGTCATCAGAAGGGAGGAGAGGAAAGTGTAGAAAGAGAGAAGTCTCCTTTGTTCCTTTAGAATCCAAGGTTTGTAAAATATCTTGATTGACCAAATCTACAGGTTATTCAAAATCCAGAGAAGGCTTTATGAACAGTTGCTTTGGCCAATTCCTCCTAATTGCCTTGCAGTGCATGAGAATGGGAACACTGTATTGTTACCATGTTAACAGTTCATTAAATGCTTTAACATAGTTTCTGATGTTGCATTTGAGCACATTCATAAAGACACTGGTTAAGTTAGGTCCACATATCCACTGTAGCAAGAGGTTACTCCTTGAAAGATGAGAGTAATACCTACTTATTTATTTAGCCATCTATGTAGAAACATACAAATTGTTGCATCTTTTTGGTCATCAGGTTTTTTTCTGATATCTATATATTCCGTACTATCATCCTTTTCTGTTGCACCATTTGCAGTCACAGTATTTCTTCTGAAGATATCCATATATCCCCTGCCCTCATCCTTTTATGTTGCTGTGGAATCAGCCAGCAGTGGCATTAGGGATGATGAAGGAATCTGAGGGGCAGTTAGACTGTACTTTGGGAAAAAATGGACTCTCGAGCTTGCTCAGAGTAGATGTATCTACCAGAGCCATTGGTCACAAGTGCTCAGTGTGCCTCCGTGCTGACAAGAAAATATGTAACAGACAAACACTTGAAAAAAGTAGCAAGCTATAACTTCAGAAGTCTTTTGATGAGCTTTTGCCATCAGAACTTCGTTCCTGATTCTCCGCATGAAGAATTATATTTGTTAGTTTATTCTGGCTGATATGGTTTCATAGCAGCCTAGGAATCCTGACAGATGTGCTGTTCCTACTTGAAATGTAAAGAAATGCTGTAGTTTAGAAATCTCATTTCATACGTACTTTTTAGAAAAGGGACCCTGTAGTTATGAAGGTAAGGTGATTTCTTCACATTTAAGATAAATTTTTGTCTTATTCTCTGTAAACAACTTCAAACTTTGTCCAAATTTTCCAGTTTGTTACGTGAATTTTCATACTTTTCTTTTAAAGGGCTCAGGACATCTTCCGTCAGGCAATGAAATTTCAAAGTGTCACCTTGGAAGTCCTTCCTCCATATAATCGAGAACAATATGAGAAGTCTGCTATTGCTCCCCTTTGCTTTCTGGATAACGAAGAAGGAGTTCCAAAAACAAAGATTCCACCTCCTGTTCATCCAAAACCTGCTCTGAAAGCGATTAATCTCTCTGGAGCAAGCAGCTTGGAAGGAGGTGTGCAGGCAACTCTACAACAGGCTAAGAGCCCCAATCTCCCACGTCTGGCTAGAAAGTCGTCTTCTCCATCACTGTCTCCCCTTATGGGCTTTGGCAATAAAAAAAATGCGAAGAAAATAAAGATAGACCTGAAAAAAGGTATGTCTTTGGAGATGATATGATTAATTCTGTATCATGTTCAGTATATTGATACCTTAAATTTTAACTTAACTAGTGACATTAAAAGTACAAGCAAGTTGTTTATGGTTTAAAAGTTCCAAAACTTCTACAAGGTAAAGAAATGTTAACAGTTAATGTTCTCAGCAGTCAGCTTTCTCGTAAATTTTGGATGCATGTTATCTAGACTTACTGATTTTTAAAACATCTCATTTACTGGTTGTGTGGAAGGTATTTTATTAGCAAAATATGATACTAAGAGATGCTTCAGCCTTTTTGCAAGTACAGAATAAAAATCTGAACTGTCTGCTGGTGACCTTTGTTATTTTTATTAATATCTGCTAATTGACCCACACTGTTAAAACATTCTTTTAAAGATATGTTTAAAAATATAGTCCATTCTGTTCTGTGTTATCTAAGAAGCTGACCACAGTTTTACCTGTCTTTCCCTTTTTTATTTTCTACAAACCTTTTCTTTCAATCTGTATTTATTCAGTTGTCAGATGGCTGAATTTTGTGTGTATATATTTAAATATTACTCCTTGCAGATGTCTGTCTTTGCATGGAATTAACAGGTTTATGCACATGTAGTAAAATGTGCTTAAGCAGATCCCAATTTGCATTTATATTTCTGTTTAATTTCTGTCTCTGATTTGGCTGAGAGTTAAATTTGGTGCCTAGAAGTGTCCCTTTTAAAAACTGTCTGTAACTTTATTCTTTTAACACATAATGAAAATAATCAAGCTGTCATTTCTTAATTTCTGGTATTTCTTAAATCACTCATTTTTACTTCTGAACTCTTCAGCTTTGCATTAACAAAACCTGCTTCAGAATTTTCCCCATTTTGGATGTAGTACTTTTGATTTTGATACAGTAATTTATATTTTTTGAAATGATAGGAATGTGATACTGATATGATGATAACTCTGAAGACAATCACATGGGTAGCAGTCCTGCTCAGTATAAAAAGATTTTTATGGACCTTGCTATTCCTGGGTGATTTTGGTGGCTTGTAAGCAATACGTGCTAATATTGACTTTACTCCCTAATTATTTGTTAAAACATTCATCTATTAACACTTGAGGTTGTTTATTTCCAAGCAGCAAACAACTTCACTAATGGAAGCTTTGAAATAACACTTGTCCTTTCTTAACAGCATGTAGTCCACAGTTCATGCATTCAAATAATGTGACACTTTCTACTTTTCACCAAGTTTCAGCAAAATCTGCTAAATTACATTTGTGGTCATAAATGAACAATTCTGATTGTTCTGATTTGTTTCAAAGATTATTGATGTTAATGTGAAGGCTGATACCGAAGCCACCTAGAGAAAAGATAAATGCTCTAAAATGAGAATTCTCGCTTGTTTTATATTATTGTGAGCTATCCAAATGTATTTCCATCTGTAGCTGTTGCAGGAGGGTTTGAGCGTGTGTTCTGACATTGATAGAATTCTTCTCTAGACCATGCAGAAAATAGGCTCATGTTTGCAGCTTTTTTGTTGTCTTTCCATTTTTAAAAGCTAACCTGAATGCATGTCTGTGATATGTTACTGACATTGTTTACCTACTTTTAGTGATCATCATTTGCTTGTTGAAATTTATGTTGGGAATTCTTTATCTGACCTTTTAGGTCCAGAAGGACTTGGTTTCACTGTGGTTACCAGGGACTCTTCGGTACATGGTCCTGGTCCGATTTTTGTGAAGAATATTTTACCAAAAGGTGCAGCAGTAAAAGATGGTCGTTTGCAGTCAGGAGACAGAATCCTGGAGGTTAGGATAAACATCTCTTGCATTTGCATTGATGAATATTTTTACTGGTTTTGGCATAAATATTTTATTTCCTTATGCATGCTACTGATGTATGGGATTAAAATTCTTGACTTTGGTTTGGTTTTTAAAAACAACAAAAAAAATCTTACGGCGTTTGTCAACAAGTATTTTTATACCGCAATTTGGAAAAAGATGCTTTTCACAAAGGCCCATGGGATGTTTGAACAAGAAGGATCTGATAACATCTTGGTTCTTAGAGCAGATAAATGTATCCGTTTACAAACAAAATATGTCTTGCTTCTTCAAACATGTAAAAAAATCTCTGATTAATATAGAGGTGGTTAAGTGCTCATTTTAAGGCAATTTTGCTCAAATCTAAGATTTCCAGATAATTTATGACTTACACTCTCATTATCTAATGGGTTATTTCTACTTACTAACCTGAAAAAGCTCTTAAAGTAAACAGTTTAAATAATACTTAGGTCTTGTTTCGGTACCTTTCATCTTCAAAGTGCTTTACAAACTAATTAAGCCTCACAAACCCCCTGCAAGGTGGGTAAGTACTATAGACCTGCTTTAACAGATGGTGAAAATGAGGGGAAAAAAGGTTAAGTGATTTGTGCAGGGCCAGAGGGGAAGACAGTGTGTGAGCTCTTGCTAATTCTTTGCTCTCAGTCACTGAATGGCAGCTGTGTTAGGTGAGGGGAGAATGCCAAAAGACAGTCAGACTCACAGGTATGACATCCTCTGTTCTTTTGTGTCTGGTCAGGTGAATGGACGGGACATCACCGGCAGGACCCAGGAGGAGCTCGTAGCTATGCTGCGGAGCACAAAGCAAGGGGAAACTGTCTGTCTGATTGTGGCTCGTCAGGAGGAGACCTTTCTACCTCGAGAGCTGGTAAAATTGTTATTTGTTACCTGAAGAGTGATACTGAAACAATTCTCATGTTTTAAAACCAGCCCAAGAAATAGAAATGAACTGTTATTGGCCAAGAAAGCCAGTGAAGGGTAACTGTATAAGGCTTGTGTTTGAGAAGTACTTAGACTTACATTTGATTTTGATGAATATTTTATTTTTATCTACTTTAGATACAAGTCCACACAGTCTGATTTTTCATCCCAAAAATGACATCATAAGCATAACTCACAGGGAAATATTGTAAATGAATTTTGTAACTGTGGTCAAACGTGACCATAAATGGATTATTCTCTTTCAGAAAAGTAACGAACTTTAAACCAGAAGTTAAAAGTGTGTGTAATGAGTCCTGCAGTTTATCAGTAATGAACTAGTGAGAGTGGCTGCTCCCAAGGAGATGCATCTCCTACGTCATGTGCCAGACTGCAGGAGTGGTGGGGAATGGAATTCCATTGCACTCCTCACAAATTTTGGAAGCAAACTTTTCCTTGCCTGTGCTAGTCTTTGACTTGATAGGCTCTTGCATGTCTGATTTTGTTCCATCTCAAGTGATTAATTTTAACTTTTTTTTTTAAACGCTGGCATGAAACTGTTCTACTTTCTCTCACATAGACATGGTTTCTCTCACATAGACATTGGAGGACTACTAAGTGTAAAAGTGCTATCTGATACATACTTGTTTCCCCTCAAAGAAGGCCATCTCCTTGGTCAGCTCTTCCTTATCTTGATTGATGGCTGTACTTGACCTTTCATTAAGAAATTCTCAGGATAAAGGAAGGACAGCATTTCCTGCTTTTGTCTCATTTCATCTCCTTTAAAGAACACAAACCGCCTTCATTCTTTTCTTAAGATGCCACCTTCTTGCTTGTCCTTTTGCTTTAGATTATTAGCAGAATCTTCTACAGAAATCCTCCCGTTATGTTTCCTCACAAAATGTTGCTAACAGTTTTCCTCTTGTTTCCATGTTACCAGTTGGACCTTGTTGAGGTAAGGGTGTCTGCTGCTTTGGGTAGGGTAAGAAGCTCAAGGGGAGCTCAGATTCTGTCGTGTGAGCCTTTCCTCTTGCACTGCTGGTGCCTGCTTTTTCCTGTAGTAGAGCAATTGTGAAGTGCCCTAACAAAAATATTTTTGTTTTCATTTTCCTTTTGTTATTGAGTAATCTTTGAGGAGGAATAGTTTCAGCCGTGTAATTGGGCATTCATTGTCAGTGATTCTCAAAGCACCAAAGTTGGTCGTTGTAATGCTGTTCAGTGAGGCCTGAGCTGTAGAGTCAGTGTCTGTGTGGACTGGAGGGAAATTTCTGAGTCTCAAAGTACTAAATTATATTTCATATTTAGAATTTCTTTTCTTCTACCAGCTCTTCCAAATAAGAGCTTGTTTTTTGAAGAGGCTACCCATCAACAGTTTTTTCTTGTGAGTTTTTAAAGTTATAAAACATATTACTTGGAAAACGTACTTTTAAAAAAAAGTGTGTATTCTTTTCTCTCTACTGTTTCCACAACATTATTCTTTATTGTCATAGTGCAAATTCTCTTGGAAATCACTGTAACAGTGTGTGGGTATAAAAGGCTGGAAGAATCTAGAAGCTATTTATAATTTTTATTTGCCACAATTGCCTGCTATAAAATTCTGATCCATATAGCAAGGATTAACTGCATTTCAAAAGGTGGCTTACTTATGACTGGCATGATTGAAGTCCAGAAAGGAGACACATTTATCCTGCTGGCTTGACCTTCACTTAGATTGCTTTCTATGTGAAAAGTGATGGCCCTCACTGTAACAATGATGATATGTGAATTCTAATACTGTTCTGTGGTTCTTGTTATCCCAATCAAGTACAATATAATAAAATGTGAGTTAATGAAATACATTAGATAATTTTATGGAACCAGCCATTCTAAATTAAAAAGCCTTTCAGCAACATCTGTTTGGTAGCTCATGCAAGTATGGGTTACCATACCACTAAGCTACTAGATGTTGATCCTAACATGATGCTTGTTAGAATTCATGAGATGTCTGAGAATAGTCTCAGCAAAGATTAAAAAAAAAATAAAATCAGAATTGGCTTAACTTTTTTGTTTGTTTTTTTGCTTTAGTCATGATATTGCATTGGTCTAATCCTTTGCTACCTCAAAAGTTGCAGTGCTCTTTTGATCAAAGAGGAGAAAAAAGCCAGCACTTTAAATGTTTGGTTTTTGGAAGGAAAAGGTGGTGGATAATCGACTATTTTTCAAGGACAGCTGCAAATGATCGCCCTGACTATGTACCATGCATGCAGAGTTTACCTAAATACTCGTGGGTTTTGTTAATGCCTGTCAATAATAGGGTAATTGCTTTATAGAAAACTTTTTCTTGATTTGAGCAGTTCTCCAGGGACTGTAATCTGAGCAGCTGTTTCCTTTAGATTCCCTGTTACCTGTTGAAAGGAAAAGGAGGACTGGCTAGTAAATGTGCCCGCTCCCCACAGCTTCCTGAGGCAAAGATGCCTCTGGAACTTGGACCTGCTAGAGACCATGCACAAAACCACTTTTGAGCATGTTGCTCCACTGGAACTGGATTGCTGTCTTGATTTCTGGAGAGAATTTGATAGCTGCACAGGCACAAAGCAAATAATGTACCAAATAACAGCGGGTGGCATTTGGTTGTGTGGGTCTGTCATAATATAATTAGTCTTTACCTTGTAACAAAGCTGTGGTTTGGAGAAAGCTTGTTCTCACAAATGTTTTCTCTTCAATAAACTAGATGGGATCAGAGTTTGGGGGTTTTGTTACTGTGATCTATGCTGATGAATTGCTAGCAAGTGGAAAAATATATTCAGAGTAACAAACCTTTACCACACCAGCCAAGAGAGAGATCTGATATGCGTGAGGGTGAATCAGTCTTGCAAACAGATATTATTAAATTATAGGGAATTGTGGCTTCAGTTACACTAGCCCATGCAACATTTGAGTGTTGTAAAGTTACATTGTTTGCACTTAACGAGGGAACAAAATAGAAGACCCAATTTCATAATGTTGTTACTGCTTGGGAAAAAGAAAAGGAGGATCTAATGAGATTTTTTTTTTTTTTTTTTTAATTGAAGCAGATCAGTGAAGTAGAATTTGGACCTACCACAGGCTGTCCTCCTTATTATCCAGTTAGCCAAATGTTCCCGGTAATTCATGCCAGCTGTTGACAATGTAGCAGCTGAGTAAGGAACTGATTCCAAAACTCAGGGGAAGATCTTGATTCACTTAATTACCACACTCTAACAGTGGCCTGTGATTAGATGCATTCTTCAAGGTGCATTTGGGTTTTAAACTGTGTAACATTGTTTTCTGAAGGATGGTGAATATTACAGAGAGAAACTGGCTTAACTGAGCAGGTTTGGATTTTCCAGCTCTTATCAAAGTAAATGGAATACACATCAAACTGTGGCTGTTGTTCTATTGCATTTTCAAAAGACAGTATTTTGATCATGTGTATTTGTTGCATCTTGGTTTTTAATCCAGGAAAAATGTGTGATCTGAAGGTGCCGTTTATTTTAATAATGATACAAAGATCACTTACTCCCTCTTCTCTCTTTTTATATCCCCACATTGGTAAAACAGACAAAACTACTTGAATGAGAACAGCTTCTGATGTAACTCGTTCTGCGCCATGACCCTATGCAATTCTTTATTCTTGTTATTTTTCATGAGCTTTCAGGGTAGTGTATAAACAGATAAACACAAGAATGTGCCTTTTCTATAATTACCAGAAATAATACAGCACCAAAAATATTTCGGTGCATTTTTCTTTGGAGCACATACATAATGTAAGTTTTGCATATGTTTTATTTTTTGTTTTAAAGATAGCTCTGGCTTACCAGTTTCAACTGTAGTCAGTATTTGTGGTTTCTTGGCATATTCACTGATCCCTGAATGGAGGAGGAAAGGCAACAAACTAGCATTTTTACAACAAAAGCTAAAAGAACAATGTATATAATGTAGTGGTTGATCTTTAATCCTGAGTCTTTTTTCACCCATGTACTATACAGGATAGAAGGAAGCAGGATGAGAGCCAATTGAATTATGCTTTTTTTCTGTTTGCAATGTGATTAACTTTTGTGTTTCAGTCTTCTGCTAGTTAATTCTTTCCACTACCTTGAACTTCTATGCCTGAAGGAGAACTAATGGTTTGCCTGAAGTGTTGTCCTTTTTGCTTTTAATATTCAAAGCTTAATTTCTATTATTTCATTTTTAATTGTTTCTTGCCTTTTTATATGCAGGAAATAATAGCTGACACTTCAGCCTAGACTTAGACATTTTTGCATTTGTTTTTGTAGGTCAAACCAATGATTCTAGTGCTTAATTAACCAGAAGTGGTCAAATAATTTCAGTCACAAAATTATTGCAGCAAGTACCAATTCTCTGTTGGGTTATCTCTCTTCAAAGGGAGAAGAGTCTGATATGAGGGGAAAAAAAAGAAAGTCAATGTACATCTATTGTGTTTTAATAACACACACCAGATTAAGTTGTTGGATTGTTCTGCATGATGAAGAGAAGGATATTGTGAATACACGTGGCACCTTTCATCTTGAATAACTTTATAAACTATATAGATTTTTAAAAGTCCTGTTTTTTTCCCAAAAATTTTTGAAATAAAGTGTTTAATTATAGACTTGTAGATTCTCTTTAGAATCATTGAGAAATTAGTGTAGGTTATGTCCACACAAATGTATCAATTTTTAGAGTGAAAACATTCTGTAGTGCAGCCCCTCAAATGTTTTCAGCATTCATTCTGTGTTTCAGAAGATAGCTACTAGTTCATTATAGCTTAGAGTACTAGAAACTGTGCATTGAAGTTTGTTGATTAGTTACTGTGCTAGTTGTAAAACACAATAAGAGATCACTGTTTAGAAGGAACATGACAATCTTCCCTGTCACAGTGAACAGAAGGTGTGGCAAAAAGTATCCCTTTATTTATCCCAGCTTTTGGTAGGGGGGAAAAAAAGGGAATAA